TTTTCCTGTTTTGCTTACCTATATGTATTCTGCGCACCCCGCACTTTGGGCATTAAATTTCTCAAAAAAATGTGCGCAAAATACACGAGTTTTTACGGTAATTCGAGGTAGAAATATGTTGAAAAATAAAGTATTGGAAAAGGATGGAGAATGTGATTTGCTAGGTCTTACTTAATGCTTTCTACCAAACTGTGTTATTGCTGCAGACTCTCTTCTCAGTTAAAAACCCCAACAAGATCTGATTGGTTGAACAACTCCCAATCACCAAGAGAATAGATAGATTGCATAATATTGAAGCACGTCTGAGCTTCAATCTATACATAAAAGATAGGAAATGCTCATCTAATCTTCAAAGACCAACCGACTACCATTTCACTAGTGTCTTTTAGATGGAGCTTCAGAAACAGTAAGACTTTGATGTCATAATTCCTGATAAAGATCAATGACAATTTATTCTGTTTGAATGACAAGTTGTTTTTCTTTGCTTGTAATGTAGAGCTAATAAACAAGACTATGTTTTAGTAACATAAAATTCTTGATACATATTTGCTTATTTTCTTTGTATTTACCTTGGCAGTGGTATCTTTTTGGGGTTTTCCATGGGCAGTGGTATCTTTTTGGGGTTTTACAGGGCAAGTGGTGTCTTTTTGGGGTTTTACAGGGCAAGTGGTGTCTTTTTATGGTTTTACAGGGCAAGTGGTGTCTTTTTAGGGTTTTACAGGGCAAGTGGTGTCTTTTTGGGGTTTTGCAGGGCAAGTGGTGTCTTTTTGGGGTTTTGCAGGGCAAGTGGTGTTTTTTTGGGGTTTTACAGGGCAAGTGGTATGTTTTTGGGGTTTTACATGGGCAGTGGTATCTTTTGGGGGTTTTACAGGGCAAGTGGTGTCTTTTTGGGGTTTTACAGGGCAAGTGGTATGTTTTAGGGGTTTTACATGGGCAGTGGTATCTTTTTGGGGTTTTACAGGGCAAGTGGTATGTTTTTGGGGTTTTACATGGGCAGTGATGTCTTTTTGGGGTTTTACAGGGCAAGTGGTATCTTTTTGGGGTTTTACAGGGCAAATGGTATCTTTTTGTAGTCAAACAAAACAATCTTTATTTTAAACTATCATAGTTTTGAACTGGTTAATTTTGGATTTAAATCATAAATCAAAATTTCACATTCAGCTTTTTCCGTCATTTCTATATATATTCACCCAATCTATCAAATTTTTGTTATAAATTGAAAATTATGGAATTTTTGTTTTGTCGTACATGCGCTTCAGTGCTAATTGAAGTTGATCACTTTGACTTTTAGATAGGAAGCAGTGTTGTGTTATAAATGTTTAGTGAGTCCATCATGACTGTGTATCCATTAATATCTTTGTCATAGAAGGAGGTCCTCAAACAGTTGGCTGCTGTTCCATACTCCATGTGAGGTAAAAATAATTGAAAGTGAAGGGCAAGGTCAACGATAAACAAAGAAAAGTTGCCACCACAATTATCCTGTAACAGCTAGCATCCTTCTAGCCTGCAGATATGAAGCAGATAGTATGCTTTGTAGCTATAACAGCCAAAGTCTGTGGGCTGACCGTCTAGTAGCTGTTTTTATGTCAGTTTAACAAGGCTCTTTTAAATGTCATTTTCTTCACTATAATTTTACCTGTGATGTGACAATGGTGCTTAATAGTCCTTGGAAAGGAGGTTATAATGTCATGGGGGTTTCAAGTAATGTCTGATTAACTCCTAAGGAAGGAGTAATAGATGTAAGGCTAATTATGGGCCTTAGGAAGGAGTTTGGTATAATGGAGGTAAGGTAATCAGTTATAGTAGTCCTGAGGAAGGTGGTTAGTATAATGGAGGTTAGGTAATGAGTTATAATAGTCCTGAGAAAGGTGGTTAGTACAATGGAGGTTAGGTAATGAGTTATAGTAGTCCTGAGGAAGGTGGTGAGTATAATGGAGGTAAGGTAATGAGTTATAATAGTCCTGAGTAAGGTGGTTAGTATAATGGAGGTAAGGTAATGAGTTATAATAGTCCTGAGAAAGGTGGTAAGTATAATGGAGGTAAGATAATGAGTTATAATAGTCCTGAGGAAGGTGGTAAGTATAATGGAGGTTAGGTAATGAGTTATAATAGTCCTTAGGAAGGCGGTTAGTATAATGAAGGTTAGGTAATGAGTTATAATAGTCCTTAGGAAGGCGGTTAGTATAATGAAGGTTAGGTAATGAGTTATAATAGTCCTTAGGAAGGCGGTTAGTATAATGAAGGTTAGGTAATGAGTTATAATAGTCCTTAGGAAGGTGGTTAGTATAATGAAGGTTAGGTAACGAGTTATAGTAGTCCTGAGGAAGGTGGTTAGTATAACGGAGGTAAGGTAATGAGTTATAGTAGTCCTGCGGAAGGTGGTTAGTATACTTGAGGTAAGGTAATGAGTTATAGTAGTCCTGCGGAAGGTGGTTAGTATACTTGAGGTAAGGTAATGAGTTATAGTAGTCCTGCGGAAGGTGGTTAGTATACTTGAGGTAAGGCAATGAGTTATAGTAGTCCTGAGGAAGGTGGTAAGTATAATGGAGGTTATGTAATGAGTTATAGTAGTCCTGAGGAAGGTGGTAGGTATAATGGAGGTTAGGTAATGAGTTATAATAGTCCTTAGGAAGGCGGTTAGTATAATGAAGGTTAGGTAATGAGTTATAATAGTCCTTAGGAAGGCGGTTAGTATAATGAAGGTTAGGTAATGAGTTATAGTAGTCCTGAGGAAGATGGTAAGTATAATGGAGGTAAGGTAATGAGTTATAGTAGTCCTGAGGAAGATGGTTAGTATAATGGAGGTTAGGTAATGAGTTATAATAGTCCTTAGGAAGGTGGTTAGTATAATTGAGGTAAGGTAATGAGTTATAATAGTCCTGAAGAAGGTGGTTAGTATAATGAAGGTTAGGTAACGAGTTATAGTAGTCCTGAGGAAGGTGGTTAGTATAATGGAGGTAAGATAATGAGTTATAATAGTCCTGAGGAAGGTGGTTAGTATACTTGAGGTAAGGTAATGAGTTATAGTAGTCCTGAGGAAGGTGGTTTGTATAATGGCTGATTCTAGTCCTCAGGAAGAAAGTTATCTTGTAGTTCTCTTCAGAAAGGGTATAGTCAAGGCTAATTCCAGTCCTGGAGTGGGAGGTTAACGTAATGACTGATTCTTAGTAATCCCTGGAGGGAGGTTATTGTAACATCTGATTCTAGTCCTTAGGAGGGAGGTTAATGTAATGACTGATTCTAGCCCTTAGGAGGGAGGTTATTGTAACGACTGATTCTAGTCCTCAGGAGGGAGGTTAATGTAACGACTGACTCTAGTCCTCAGAAGGGAGGTTAATGTAATGACTAATTCTAGTTCTCAGGAGGGAGGTTAATGTAATGACTGACTCTAGTCCTCAGGAGGGAAGTAAATAGAAAGACTACCTGGACGACGATAGACCCACTCAAGTTCCGCTACATTTCTCCTTCCTTTTTGTAAGTCTTAAAGCCACAAGCCCCACCAGACACACTATTTACAACCCAGGTTCAGGTGTCCCCTTGCCAAGCATTCACCTAGTACTAGAGACAAGGGTTGGTCACGGCACCAAATGTAGTAGGAGCCGAAAAGAAATGCACAGCCAGACCGGGGTTTGATCCCAGGACCATCTTAATTCTAGATGGACGCTGTACCAATTGAGCTTCTGACAATCAACCTAGTCCAGTTCTGGCACAATAGTCCTAAGGAAGGAGATGAACCTCTTTTTGTAGGTTATTGTAATGGAAAATATTGAATTCAAAACAGAACTTGTATGACCTCCAGATCAGTGCAAAGTTAACTATCAATTTTTATGTATCGTAGCTTTGGAGTCCTGATGAGTCCGTATTCATGAAACCATTCTCAAACTCAAAATCAGTGTGCTCATGAAGCAAATTATTTTGTTCTTGGGAATGAATAAAATGTACATCTTGATAATGTTTGGGGGGACCATGGAGACCCTTGAAGCCAAATATCATTTTCAACATTTACTCTGCAAGTTCTGACTATATGTCACATGATTTAAATGAGTTAAAAGAAAGTTGGTTTGGCCAGAGAATCCAATCTTGATCATAAAAATGGTTTCACATGAACATATGTGTCCATCTGGTGACAGCAACTGTTGTGATAATCAGGAATTGTGTGTCTATGTCTGTACAACCATATACAAAGTGGTATAGGTCATTGTCTTTTGTATTTTTTTTTGCATAAAATTAATTAATGAAAAAGTTTAGAATTTTCTTAAGTAAATACAATGATATATATACATTAATTGCCGATTTCTGCTGTTAACTTCGAGGACGATTTTACACATACTCATTAACTCCTGATTAGCTGGCCCATCTTAAGCTGTAGTCGGTGTACCTTTATAAACCCGTACATACTGCTATTCAAGTAAGGTTATACATATAGGTGGTTTCTGATGAGATCTCGCTGGTATTGATCCAGCCCAACATTACAGGTTTAGGTTAGTCAGCGTTGATTGGTGACTGTAAGGGCAGGTCCTGTGATGTCTTGTAGTGCAGATTTATCAAGCAAAACGCTTGACTAAATTAAAAAAGCCATGAATCATACATGTGAAAATCAGGTAGACGTCCCAGTGACATTGTATATATATCTGTTGTTTCTCGGTGGAGATGGGTGGGGGGGTAGTGTTCAAGTGTCCGTAGTCACCCTGTGACACGTTATTCTTTCATTATGCCACCCCCTGATTCTAAACCTATTCTATTGTCAACTTGTCACATACCACATGACACCAATACATTAACATTGAACTATTAATATAAGTGGTTTACCAAATTGAGAAAAATAACCATGTCCTTGAACTTGATATTTCATACTGAGAACCCTTACTGTTCCCCACTCTTTCCAATACCCTCTACAGGCATTATCTCATGGCAAGATAAGGAAGGGGATGGATGTTCCAACATGTTTTTTTGGTCTGGTAAGTTTTGGCCTGCCTGACCTCTGTTTGCATTTGTTTCAGGGTAAATGTGGGATGTGGGCCAGCGGAGGAGAGAGTGCTACTCACCGGCCTTCATGCTGTCGCCGACATATTTTGCGAATGCTGCAAAACCACCTTAGGGTGGAAATATGTAAGTTGTGTTACTTCATAAAAAGTTCAAACCAGTTCACAAAAGCTACCAATGAAGTTACATCACAGTCCCTGGTTGATTAGAGTTTATTAAAACTTCCAAGGCATCGTTTAAATCTTTATCATTTCATTGTACTGAAGTTTTAGCAGAATCCTTCATAAGTATGTAATTCTTCAAACAGTACAATAGATGAGATTTGGTCTGACTCAAGTATACTTCTTCAGGCTTTATACTAAGTTAATAGGATAAGAACAACTTTTATAGAAAACTTTGATGGTAAGTCAATTACTTCAAAAAGAATGATTAAAATTGAGTATGGTTATAAGGGGGGGAGAGTGATGTACTGCTAGTACTTGACCTGACTTAGTTTCATGCTCACAGTGTTTGTAAACAACACAATCAGCTGATCCTGGGAGTGTATATATATGTGGGTTACTAGGTCATTTATTATAGCTAGCAGCTGTGCTATATTTATATGTGACAGCAACGTGGTAATAAGTCATGGTAATAAATCGGTATAAACAACTTCAATTCTGGCTCTGAGGGTTTAATCAGTCCAGCCAACAAAGTTTTACAAAAAAATAAATTGGGAAACTCAATTTATAAAATTATTTGTCAATCAGATTTTTATTTCTGAACATTTTTGAGTGAGACCTAATATCTTTAAAACAAATGTTTCTTATTGGTAAGTAACCTTTACATTAGAATTTTAATTTCCTATATATTTTTATTCTAATTTCTTATATATTTTTACATTATCATGTGAACGATATCCTGTAATAGAACAAAATAATGTTGGGATATCTTACTTCTGAATTCCCCCCTGATCTTGGCCTAGCCAATGCCATCGGATTTATTTGTCATTTAATTTGTTGAAATTGAATTTTAAATCCTCAGGATGATTGAGTCAGAATATAAGTAAGGATTAGGAGTTCTCAATTATTCTTTTTCTTGTATCCTCAATCAAGAACTTATTATGAAGTAAATATATGATTAATATAAGTTATTTTTTTAACTTTGCAAAATACAATTAGATCCTACAGGAATTATACAAGTGCAAAATCAAACTGAGTGTTCATTTAATGGGCCAGAAAGCAACCCTAAGCCAGAAAAACTCCCTTTGGTGCTTCTTCGTCTGTATAGAGGGAAGAAAACATTAATAACAATATCTCAGAATGGAACTCTTCTATGAAATTAAAATTAGATAAGTGGTACCCTTTACCTTAACACATAAATTTGTACTACTGTATTGGTAAATATCTTTCATCAAGTCTTTTCAAAAAGCACTTGTATATAAAGTTGATATCTTTTTCTTACAGGAACATGCATTTGAATCTAGTCAGAAGTACAAGGAGGGAAAGTTTATCATAGAGCTGGCACATATGATCAAGGACAATGGATGGGACTGATAGAAATGGGGGAGGGTATACCTCCCTTCTCTCTTGTGATGGGGGGATTGGACCTGTGAGTAAGGAATTCCCCCCTGATCATGGACTGGCCTCATTATTCTACAACTTGTGCTAATAGGACCAACACATAGGATCACACAGAACTGGAGTCCTCTGTGAAAGTCAATTTATATATAAAGTTTTGTAGAGCTGTGAAAGACTTGGATGACATGTGGAGGATATTTTAAAAGGATGACCCTTGTAATAAGGTCTTTAGTGACCTTTGAGTAAGGTCAGTTAGAAATGAGGACCTTAGACACAGATTCATGCTTCGTTGGTCTTGACCTGATGACGCTTATAGCACTGGCCACGTTTGATTTTTTTCAAGATTTGTGGCATCATGGCTAATCATGATGTGTTCAAGGCAAGATATATTCCAGCATAAGGAAGCAAGGACTGAATTGACCTTGACTGGTGACCTTGTGAAACCCTGATGTCACAACCTCTACCTTTACTGTGGACCATGTCACATTGGTGTGACCTTGTTACCAATTGTGTAGGCTTGTTTTGTATATTGTTGTAAGATGCCCCACACATTGTCAGTGTGGCTATATATGTGTCTAACTTCCTATAACAATATGTAAGCTAGTTTTGTATCTATAAGTAAACGTGTGCAAAGGTACCTAACTTTATTAAGTCATCAATGATGTTTCCTGGCCAAGTGTGAGTGTGTCAAATCAAATCAGCTCCATATATTGTGTTTTGTTGACACCGTTCCAGTGCAGACTGATATTTTATTTTAATTTGTCGATTATAAAGTGCAGACTTCTTTAGATTCCACGAATTTTGTGATCAAGAAAACATAGAGTCTGGTAGTTATAGTAAGGTGTATATGTGAATGGTTTATCTTAACATGAAACCGCTAGATTCTGGCCACCAGTATAAAACTACTATTGTATTGTTTTTATAACCAATGTTGCCTGTCTCATTTCGCATCAGTGATTGAGAAACATGGATAGAGATCTTTGCTTGTCATAATGATAAATCAGTTCTGTTAGAACAACTTATCAAAATATCTGTAAAACTTAATTCAAACACTGTTGATTTATTCAAAACATCCAAACATGAAGGTATCATAATGGATTGGAAACATCTTATATTTTACTTACATCTGTTGTCATGCCATCAACTGTCTTAGGTACAAGTGTTGTCATGGTAACAGCTTTTATATCACATCTCATAATAAATGTGCGTTAGAGTTAAGCACATGATTGATCACATGACAGTTAACAATCATATACTGGTAGGCTAAACAGGATTTTACAAAATCTCACAGAACAACAGAAATTAATAGATCATCAATGATTTATTTAATTTTTGATTCCAAACACTTTTCTCCTGTGAGAAAGCCCACTGTCTGTTTCATAACTTCATTATATATTGATATTAGATTACTGTTTGTGTTTGGTTAGCTAGGTAGACAGTGTCCTTATTTCACCAACATTACTTCATTTACATTGTAACTATTTTTTCTTGACTTAATTAAGCAATGCTGTGTCTATCAGAAGATTTAAGTTTTAAGGAAAAATCCTTGTTTAGATGTTTCATGAATTCTTGATCCTGACTTTCTGTAGAAGTGTTGGCCTAAGTGTGTGCGATTTAATGCTGTCGTACCTCTTGTTCTTTGGAGCAGTGAGAATCTGTGATAACTTTATGTATATGATGTGAGTGAGGATTTGGGATTAACATAACAGTTGGTAGGTACCGATCTCGTACTCATGAAATTCTCAGGTAAAATACATCTTTTTGCTATAAAGGAGGCAAAATATTATTATTTCAGTATGTAAAACAAATGTTATTTAGTCATTATAAGAGAGTTTGTGGGAAAGGGGGCATAACTCTCAAAACTGCCATGAAATGTTAGTGCTAAATTTAAACTATTGCACTGCTAGAGTATAATGTGTTGGTACAGTCGTACGTGTACTTTAAAACATAGTGCTATATTGAAGCAAAATCCTTGATCACTTACGTTGTAAAGTTTATTTTTTTAAATTCTATGTTATTTGGTGATTCATTCTGGCATTTCTAATTTTTGGATTTCAAGTACAGTACACTTTGTCTAAAAGTAAAACTGACTCTGTTCAATCAAGATTTTTGTCTAAACTGGCTAATGAATTTGGTTCCAACAATGAAAATGCAAGTACAAATTAGTAAAATGTTGTGGTATCAGTTTGTTTAGCTTACAGAGTGAACACTGTACATAAAAAATTATAATAAGTCTTAATTATAAGTAGTTTATAGGACTTTCTACTAGAGATTGTATCCAAAATTTATTTTACTGACATGACACAATGACTAAGTCAGAACATCTGTGATTAAACAAACAGGTCACTTTTGAGAAGTGATACTAAAAGCCATATCATGTTGTTATATATATGTTAAGTGTGTTTTAATGTGTTCGAATGCATAAATCATGTAAGATTGAAAAAAAAAAAACCCACATTTAAAAGAAATGTGTTTATCACAAAACTCTTTGTAAAAGTTATAATCCTTTATGCATTTGAAATTTTAACAATTTCTCATCTTTTCATTAATGGTTTCATTAAAAATAAAAACCCATTATTACATTCATTATAAGACTAATTCACTTGCTGACATCAATTGTATGGTATGTCCTTAGAGTATAATCTTGATAAAGTTTTTAAGAATATTTCAATGTAATGAGAACTTCATATAAGTTAGGTCTGTAAACATTTGTTATAAGTTAGGTCTGTACAAAGTTAGGTCTGTAAACATTTGTTATAAGTTAGGTCTGTAAACATTTGTTATAAGTTAGGTCTGTAAACATTTGTAAACCCTGATTTCTTCTGTGTGCTTGTAGCGTTATGACAGTTGTGTTCACCCGTAATAGTGTAGACAATGGCTGCTGGAAAAATTAACTTTTTTATTTCACAAGAATGAAACAAATTATTTCAACTTATATTTTATATTTAACTCTTTTTGGCCCGAATATTAGCGCGCTAGGGGTCTTTATGTGGGAGGAACTGGAGTACCCAGAGTAAATACCTTTTCATGTCCGATCGGGGAATCAAACCCTGGCGGCCTTGGTGAAAGGCGAGTGTGTTTTCCACTGTGCACCTGACCACCCTCAGACATTGGCTGCTTGAAACACATAATAGTGATCTACATGATGAAGATATGCTAAAAAAAGACAAAGTCAAGAAAATGATTTGTCCAGAGAAAATAAAAAAGAACAGTGTAAGAACCAATATTATTTCAAACATCATTTGTAATAAATATACTGTAATGCATGTCCAAATTTGGTTCAAGTTAAATCGCTTGACTTGCTATTTGTTATATTTCAATAATGTCAACATTAGATTATCAATTTTTGAAACATTATTTGAAAAATTGCCATATGAAGTATTATATTTTGAAATGGAAGATATAGTTCGAGATTCACTTTGATGGTATAGATAGATATTGTGTTTTTTGTGAAGTTCCATTGATACTTGATAATTTGTTTGATAGTTCATTATGTTCTGTTACCATTTCTAGGTTTTGAGGATTAAAAAACGAAAGTTACAAATATTATATTTTAATTCCATTAATTTCAAAAACTGAAATACCTTCACATGCTATTTAATAATCTGTGACATTTAAAACGAAAATGACATATAATGCAAAAACAACATACTGCTTATAGAAAACCATCCCCAATTTTAAAACAAATTCTGATGACAACACAGCCAGTGTTTTTAAAGATAGGTTAATCTGTTTGAATAAAAATTACTTTAGGACCATTTTTTTCATATTCTATACATGTATAAATGTAAGATTGTATTTGGTCTGGCAATTCTGAGAAGCTTTTAATTCTTTAGTCCTCAAAGTAATAACTACTTATGGTTATTTTTCAAACATCATCGTATGTTATGCTTGGATGCAAGTACTTCATTCTTTAAATATGCTATAATGATAAATTATTTAATGAGAAAGGAATACAAATGTTTGCCATTCCATTTATCAAAAGAGCAGATGTTTTTTGTTTGATTGGAGGTTTCTGTTTTTCCAATTTTTGTGTTTTGAAAAAAAAAATATTGAAAAAAGTAGGATGATAAACCTAGAACAGTTTACAATGATTTTCAAAGTTAATCTTTATTGATTTATTGGTGTCTTTTATTAGATGTATACATGTTTATTAGTGTGATGTAGTGCATTTCCGTGCGTAAATGTGATGTATTTTAATGGTCATAAATGATATAGTGTTTTATAGTGATATTCATATGATGTTTCATATTTTTCGGTGGTTAAAAGTGATATTAATGTTCAGTGTGTTTTTAGTGATTAAAAGTGATAGTTGTATGATGTGGTATGGCTGTGTTAGCCAGTTATGTTGAATGATTTAATTAATATCTTGCAGTCCGTATATATCCATTTCCATTATTTTTTCTAAAGTGCAATAAATATTCTCCCATACTTGCTAAGACATTTGGGGCTCAAACATTTCTTTTATCAATCAACATGTTCATTTCTTGTATATAGATTTTCATTAAAAGATTTTTCACCATTTAGATTGTATGAATACTTTCAGGAGGGATTGAGAATAATATAAGATTAAGAATGAAAATATGACCAGGTAATTCTGAAGACAATTTGTGATAAAAGTAATTTATTTTTCCAGAAAAAATTTGTTTCAACCTTTTTCTCAATGTGTAAATTTTCTATTGTTTGTAGTTTTATGTCTTCAACAGAAATTTGTGTAAATATCGCTTAATGCTACTGATATGTGTGTAATTGTTGCTTTCAATGTTATTTTGTTTTGGTCGCATACATGTTTTACTTGAAGTATATTTGATTGAATCCAATCTTACATGTAATTGGTTCCACCAGTAGTTAAACCTACCATTGTCTCAAGACTAAAGCATTACAAAAATGCTTAATAAGATAGATGTATTAGAGGTCAATATCACAACTTCACTTAATTGGTAAAAAAGGCCCCTAGCATTCAAAGTCTGATCAACACTTAAAACAACAGAGTTTTTATACAAAGTTATTTTAATTTTTTTTAATTCTCCATGTTTTATAATTTCAAAATAAAAAATAAAATAAAAAATAATTCAAAAAAATATTTAACATCATTTTCGTTTTGAAACCTCATCAAATTTTATTTTGAACAATGCAGGGCCAATATTTAAGTTTGCTGAGCCTAATCACTGCTGCACATTGTAATTGAATAATAGTTTATATCTCATTGTAAACAATAGTAATCTGTTTGTTTTGCACATTTACAATGCAAGGTCTCCACACTGTTACATGAACATCTGGCTCTGTTAAAGTTCTCTCCCTTCCACTGAAAAACAGCTATAGTTGTCTCCCTATTCCAATAAATGTCGCCTAAGTATCATATTATTTTTAAAATTGATATTTTCAACTTGAGAAAAGATAAAAACCTTTATTTTAAATTTATTTGATTAAATATCCAAAAATGGTGCATTTTAATTCACTAATTTGGAAGAAATAACATTTTTTTGAGCTTGAACACAATTGTAGTGGAATTTCAATTGACACAGGAGCAGTTTGTTTATCGGTGTGCCCATGGATGTTTGTTTGATGTACATATAGATGTGTGTGTTTATATAGAAACTCAGTATTCTCCATAATATAAAATTATGCTATTATTCTGATTAAAAGTAAACCAAAGTCTTTCAAAATGGGAAAACTTGCCTGAATGCAACACAACAAAATATATCAACTTTTTTTATAAGAAAATTAATTAAAAATAAAACTTGTAAAAATATTCAAATAGTAAAGAAAATATTTTTGATTAAATAAATATATTTATTGCAATTTCCAGTATCAGATATGATATAAATATAATGAGTGGTATGACCTTATAATAGACTTGGAAACAATTATGTAATATATTAAGTGTGGAACCTTTATAAAACTAAATAGCAATTTCTTTTTTGTTTTGCTATTTACTCTGTAGCTTCATAGCTCTGCTCCACAGCTCTGATAAGCTTAAAACTCACTCCAACTCTTATACCCTTGGAAATTATCGCCAGATCTGATAGAATTGAAAACTCACTCCAACTCTTAAAAGCTAGGAAACTAAATACAGCCTCGGAAGCTTACTCCAATTGTGATATATAGCTTCAATAGTCATGGAAACTTGCACTCTTTTAACTTATAAACTTAAAAAAACAAATTTTTCTAGACATTTTAGTTCCGTTATCAAATTTAACCCTTTCATCACTGTAGACCATAATGGATTCATCCAGATCAATGCGCGGTAGAGTCTACTAAAGTTACATAGGGGTGAAAGGGTTAAAGTCTAGAGAGATCCAGCTGCATTGGTACCCTAACTAGAATTATGTTGGTATCTGCTGGTTGTTTCAGCTTTATGAACATCTTGTTACTAAATATATTCTGATTTAAACAGATTGAAGTTTCAAATTATAGTTATTTTTCACTGCTATAATTTTAAAGCAAAATTTCAACGTTGCTAAAAGACGTAAGTTAATCCTTATACATAAAACTGAATAAAATAATGGCATGAATTTTGTTTAGTTCAGAATTTTGAAGCATTTGAATAAGAAAGTCAGCAGCTATTATTGAAACAATTACTGACACATTTATGCCAATGGAACTTCACTATTATAAGATCACCACATACAAACTTCGTTTTATTTTTGAACAGTTACCATTCACATCACACAATGTTTATATATATATGCAAGACCACACACTTGTGTTTTCTAAACTTTGATATTTTTTTGCAAATACTGGGAACTTTTCAGTTTGCCATGACAAGGGGATTCCCATAAAAAGTAGTTCTGGCTAGTAGGTAAATACAACATTCCGTATTGCACATGTGCAATACAGGACGTATTTCACGGTCTGAAAATTGCTTGTATTACTATAACAAGATTCAACAGGTATGTGATAAAATATAGGAATATACATTTTTTTAAACTATTTTACCTATGCTGTGTTTGAGTACCTAATGTTTCTACTCCTCGGCTAATTTATCGTCAGTATGCTGGTATGTTACTTCTATGTTCAGCACGTGGTTACATGATTGGCTACCACTAATGGCGTCCTATATAGCTAGTAGGCACTTGACTCAATGATGTCTTAGTGGGTACCGCTATACACGATGGCCAAGAGATCTAATCCTGTCTTGCCACCTTTTTTTTTCCTATCGGAGAACATCATTGTACCGCTTCTTAGGCGATTCACTAACTTGTTATTCAAGAACTCAGTCTTGTATATCATGTTACCGGGTACCCATTTAAGTATTCACACATGCTGTACATAAGAGATGTATGAATGCTTATGTTTTGTTAATGCAATGTTTATTTTTTGTCTCCTAGTTTTGTTAGTGTTTAACAGATATGCTTTGTTATTTTGTTTTTTGAATGGACATTATTATGTATTGATAAGTTGTATTATTATTTCCCTTTGTTGTCTTTCATCTGACGTATCGTTTGTAAATCATCTGATGTATGGCTACGAGGCCTGCTCGTTGTGGATTGGATGGACAATCCTCGGTTGCTATGGTTACTCGAGCGGCCACGTTGGTATGATGCTATATATAGTACTGTGCCAGATGATCTGTGAGGTAACTGATTGTAGAGTATAATATTAACTTATACATTGTCATGACAGTTTTAGCTTGACGGCTTGCAATAAATACATTTTAAAACGAAGCCGATGTTTTGAGGTTGTTTTTCTGCAATATTTAATTGCTGAAAGTGGAAACACACGGTATCTGTTTACAAAGGTAATGTAAACGAAACTAGCTAGTGCACCAATTTATTCGTGTAATTTTGCGATTCGAGTTTGAAATACTTAAACGCGCTCAAAAATGAAAAACCTGAATCTCACATAATAAAAACAGCTGATTACGGTCCCCTGGTAACAAAGACAGAACTGATAAGAGTCACCTGCGACAAAGAGCTAATAAATGTTGCACAATCAGGTGAAAACACAACTTTTTAAGTCACATGATGCACAAACACATATGGACCCGTGTTCACAAAACCGTTCTGATGCTTAAACTGATTCTGTGCTCAAACCCAATTCCTTTGTTTCAGTGATTTAGAAGAGTCACAAGAAGTTTGAGCTTAAAATCCATGCTTTAGCATGATACAAATGTAATAGTTTTATGAATACGGGCCTAACCTCATATGTAAAATAACAGTTATGACAAACGACTAATTGCATTCACAAAGCCATGACGCGAACAGCTGTTGGCAGTCCCCCCTTGTACATGTAGCAAACACCACTGTTTACAGTCTATACAACATCCACGAAATTTGACTTTTAAATTCTTATGGAGAATTGCTTCCTTGACAATACGCACGGTCAAAGAGAACACATCATTCTATTAAATGTTTTGTGATTATCTCACGAGTAAGAAGCCCTTCAATTGATGAGTTGATGAGTTCTCTAATTAGCTCGCCTATTCGAAGATGTAGTCACCCCGGCGTTGGCGTCCCACCTTCTGAGGTTAAAGTTTTGGTGCAAGATTTTCCAGACAGTGTTGGATCATCACACTCAATACACAGTTGTCTATTATGAGTTTAAGTCATTTATATCGAGTGTAAGCAATGTGTTTTTGCGCAAGTTATGTTGGGTAGTGTTGGACCACCACCATCAATAGGCTGTTGTCTATTATAAGGTTGAAGTATTTGTATTGAGTGTAAGCAATGTGTTAACTATATTTTCATATTTTAACTTCACATAGATGTTTCTACACATTTAACGGTCCTTGTGGTCCTGGTGGTAAGTGAGGTGGCAAATAAAATGACAGGCACTAACTCAACGTTTTACTCTACATGTGTTTCTATTGATAGTTGCAGTATTATAATAACATACATAGGCGAGCTATGCTGTTCTCCGACAGCTCTTGTTTTGATTTGGACATTGAATAGAATATTTGTGTTTGCAAATGTAACCTTACATTGCATTGGTTCCAAAACATTTGATGCAATTTCGGAAAGCACAAAACCATCGGGTATATCCTTGCACGTTCGAAAAAAGAGACGAGGCGTTTACGCAATCTATAGTCTGAACCTTGAGCTCATATTATGACTTTTTTCAGGGTTTCATGTGCTCGCAGCATTAAGGCCTAATGGGTAGACGCCGGAAGAAGTCCGACGTGTTGCATCAGACAGGAGACAAAGATTTTATTTCTTCTATGTCCATCTACATAATTTACAGAACATTCCAGTTCTATACCGGGGTCACATTTTTGAGACAACATTAGATTGGATAAAACGGACATATTTTCTTAAAGAATCTTCAGGGGGCTCGTATTAGGGAAGTGTGGAAACTATAAAAATTGAGTCACGGTGAGGTTCTGGCAGTACGGCAAATGTCGTCAATTGTTGACGTAATGCTAAACGAATTGGCATGATCGTGATATCAAACTAAAACGTAGAGAGGACGTAGTAAGGTGTGTGTGAAGGGTATTGGCGCAAATACTTTGTCTTCTGCGACCTACTAGCAGTCTGCAGCATCAGCTTAAGACCTACCGCACTAACGAGCATCGGGTCTGCATCTCGGGAACCAACCTCGCATGTCTATGGGGGACTCTAACACGTCCGCGTAGTTCATACTACGATCTGAGCACGTTGGTTGTTGTTTGTCTCGTCCTGGCAAATTTCGTCTTGAGTTCGCCCACGTTCACATGAGTTGCCTGGTAGTCTATATGCTTTCAGCAAGTTTGTCTTTAATCAACAAGTCTCTATCCTGTCGCCACTAAGCTGTCCTGAGCACGGCGTCGTGCAATGGGTGTATACATACTTTCTGAACTACTGAAGACGAATTCAGTCTAGATCTGATGATGAGAGATTGAGAGCCTTAACTAAACAGAGAACAGTTGATTAGGAACAAGTTGGTGAGGCGTGTGGTATTGACTAGATACGATCGTGGTACTATGTACCAAAGGAGGGTTGAGCACGGACGTTATGACCGTCTGATTGCAGATCTTCTTGCAAATGACACTTCGTTCTTTGAATGGGATGTATAGCCACACTTTCGCTGGATATTTATAGCACACGATGACGTTGCCTCTGGGACTAAGTGAAGGGGTTATGTTGTAATCGCTATGTCGGTGCGTTGGTGTGTGACTTTGTCTGTCAGCCCTAGACCTTGTGTGCAATATATTGCATGGACCCCTCAACAGAATCAGTTAAAATTACACTACATCATGTAAGTATTAAACTGTACAGCTGATTAGATTTATTTTGGTGGTCATCGTTCATGAGCAATGGATCAAAGGTCAAGGTTAATTGTCACATGTTGCCACTTTTCAAGTAACACGCTTGTGTACAAGCTATCTTATCAACCCAACAACAGGTGTAATTCATATTTACACAATAGTATGGGGCCATTTAGTTTTACTCCCGATTATATTTTGGTGGTCATTGGATATGGTAAAAAGGTCAAAGATCACTATTTACCTTTTTTATGGGAGTGGGTGATTAATATATCTATGAGTCTCGACGCACTTTAGGGTTGTTTACATTGGAATTAAGGACGGAATAGACAAACGATATACGGCACGGGGACCTAGTAATAAGGTACAGCTGTATTTAGACCTCTATATAGGTGTTAAGAGTAATTGTACACTTTTTATGGGTTAAGATCAAGGGGGAAGGCTCTTCATGTGAGAAACATCGAACCCGCCTACCTTTCTTGCATTAAAAACTAAATTTCTAGCTGATATGCTGAGTACCGTTAGAAATAAGGATAATGTTCATTCAGAAACCTCCTATAAACTCGTATAAATGTATTCTTCATGCGGAAATGATCTCCGTTTCTTCCGACATCACACGCCATTTTTATCTTTCAACGTTTTTTCGCAGTCATAGAGACACCTTTTCAACATTCTTGTGGTAACCATCACGCACGAGCCAAAACTTCACGTGTCGCTGGTTTGTACAGATATGGCGGGAAATCTATATAAAGAGTTACATAAATACCAGCATACAGGATTGTAGGGTGTTCACTATACCATGAGTTTAATCTTATGAATATGGAAAAAGTAGCTCTATGACTGCGAAAAACTTTGAAAGACTGAAATGGCATGTTATGTCGGTGGAAACGGGGGTTACACAAAATTAACATCCAACCAATAACCCTACACTTCGTACCCCATACCGAAGACAACAATTACCCTACACTGCGTACCCCATACCGAAGACAAGAATTACCCTACACTTCGTACCCGATGCCGAAGACAACAATTACCCTAAACTTCGTACCCCATACCGAAGGCAACAATTACCCTACACTTAGTACCCCATACCGTAGACAACCAATAACCCTACACTTAGTACCCCATACCGTAGACAACCAATAACCATATACTTAGTACCCCATACCGTAGACAACCAATAACCCTAAACTAAATACCCCATATCGTTGACAACCAATAACCCTACACTTAGTACACCATACCGTAGACAACAATTACCCTACACTTAGTACCCCATACCGTACACAACCAATAACCCTAAACTAAGTACCCCATACCCTTGACAACCATTAACCCTACACTTAGTACCCCATACCGTAGACAACAATTACCCGACACTTAGTACCCCATACCGTAGACAACCAATAACCCTCCACTTCGTCCCCCATCCCGTAGACAACAATTACCCTACACTTAGTCCCCCATACCGTAGACAACCAATAACCCTACACTTAGTACCCCATACCGTAGACAACCAATAACCCTACACTTAGAACCCCATACCGTGAACAAACAATAACCCTACACTGAGTACCCCATACCGTAGACAACCAATAACCCTATAATAAGTACCCCATACAGTAGACAACCAATAACCCTACACTTAGTACCCCATACCGTAGACAACCAATAACCCTAAACTTAGTACCACATACCGTGAACAACCAATAACCCTACACTGAGTACCCCATACCGTAGACAACCAATAACCCTATAATAAGTACCTCATACCGTAGACAACCAATAACCCTACACTTAGTACCCCATACTGTAGACAACCAATAACCCTTAACTAAGTACCCCATACCCTTGACAACCATTAACCCTACACTTAGTACCCCATACCGTAGACAACCAATAACCCTACACTTCGTACCCCATACCGTAGACAACAATTACCCTACACTTAGTACCCCATACCGTAGACAACCAATAACCCTAAACTAAGTACCCCATACCGTTGACAACCATTAACCCTACACTTAGTACCCCATACCGTAGACAACCAATAACCCTACACTTAGTACCCCATACCGTAGACAACCAATAACCCTAAACTTAGTACCCCATACCGTGAACAACCAATAACCCTACACTGAGTACCCCATACCGTAGACAACCAATAACCCTATAATAAGTACCTCATACCGTAGACAACCAATAACCCTACACTTAGTACCCCATACCGTAGACAACCAATAACCCTAAACTTAGTACCACATACCGTGAACAACCAATAACCCTACACTTCGTACCCCATACCGTAGACAACAATTACCCTACACTTAGTACCCCATACCGTAGACAACCAATAACCCTAAACTAAGTACCCCATACCGTAGACAACCAATAACCCTACACTTCGTACCCCATACCGTGAACAACCAATAACCCTAGACTTAGTACCCCATACCGTTGACAACCAATAACCCTATACTTAGTACCCCATACCGTTGACAACCAATAACCCTAAACTTAGTACCCCATACCATAGACAACCAATAACCCTACAGTTAGTACCCCATTCCGTAGACAACCAATAACCCTACACTAAGTACCCCATACCGTAGACAACCAATAACCCCACACCTATTACCCCATACCGTAGACAACGAGACGCGAGGAGCAATAAATACGACTTCTTGGCACAGCTGCATCATGTGGATGCAATGATTGTGTGAGGTCGGAGAAATATGCTATTTCTTTGTGTGATTTGATGGTCGATATTTGTTTTTATAATGCTTATTAGAATGTCGTGTTGTTTTTTTGTAACAACCAAATTTTCACGTTGCGAGAACGTGACATAACTTGGATTCTGCTTAGATTTTCAGGGCGTCATTGATAATGCAAAGGATGCTTGGTTTATTCTCCTTTTACTTTTTCAAGGGTCTCCATGTACATGTTTTCCTTGTTCATATTTTGCCAAAGTGTTATCGATTTGAGTTAGAATTATGGTTAAGTTGACACTCCGGTATTCTCTTGTTGTTCTTTTCCAATAATCCATGTTTTTACAAAAAAAAAAAAAAAAATCAGATGGAAACTCTAAAGAAACCATTAGACGTTTTCTATCTTTAAACCACACTGTATTCGCTTTTTCTGTCTGTATCTGTGTTACGAACTTTTACAATTATGACTCCTTATACCAAACTTAGGAACGCCTTTGTTCCCTTATTATGAGAACGGTTTCTCTTGCAGACTGTAGGCATTCCTATGTGAACAAACTGTAAACCTCTTTGGCAGACTGTAGACATTCCTATGTGAACAAACTGTAAACCTCTCTGGCAGACTGTAGCCATTCCTATGTGAACAAACTGTAAACCTCTTCTGGCAGACTGTAGGCATTCCTATGTAAACAAACTGTAAACCTCTTCTGGCAGACTGTAGCCATTCCTATGTGAACAAACTGTAAACCTCTCTGGCAGACTGTAGGCATTCCTATGTGAACAAACTGCAAACCTCTTTGGCAGACTGTAGGCATTCCTATGTGAACAAACTGAAAACCTCTTTGGCAGACTGTAGGCATTCCTATGTGAACAAACTGTAACCCTCTTCTGGCAGACTGTAGGCATTCCTATGTGAACAAACTGGAAACCTCTCTGGCAGACTGTAGGCATTCCTATGTAAACAAACTGTAAACCTCTTCTGGCAGACTGTAGCCATTCCTATGTGAACAAACTGTAAACCTCTTTGGCAGACTGTAGGCATTCCTATGTGAACAAACTGTTAACCTCTCTGTCAGGCCGTAGGCATTCCTATGTGAACAAACTGTAAACCTCTCTGGCAGGCCGTAGGCATCCTATGGGAATATACTGTAAACCTCTTCTGGCCGATTAATTCTTGTTTTCAAATGAGGCTGAATTTAATGAAGAGCTTATCAGGTTGTTAAAAAGAACCAGCCAAGTCTTTCAGTTTCGCATTCAATTATATCGACGATGTTTAAATAACAATACATATATTTACAACATTAATCGTTTATACCATCTGGGGCTTTAAATCGTGGACACCCCAGACTCGTCTACTTCAGCCGCTTTCCCATATCTTTACTCAACACAGGACTAACAGGGACGGTTTATTACTAAGCGGTACTACAAGCAGGACCTTCTGATCGTTAACTTTCCCTATCTTGATAGTAACATCCCTGCTTCCAATTCCTTCGGAGTTTGCATGTCGCAGTTGATTCGGTATTCAAGAGCTTACTCCGAATAACATGATTTCCTTAATAGATGTCGACGACTGACGGACAAACGTACAACACAGGTTTTCCAAAGATGCAGGTTGATGAAGAGTATTGACAAATTTTATTGATACCCCTATGATCATGTTCTTACAGGTAAATATGCTATTTCTTTATGTGAGGAGGTCGATGTTTTTTTTTTATTAAGCTTATTTATGAAATCATCGATATCTGAGAGCGACATTGCAGGACTTGGCAGTGTTTTTGGTTAACGGTCTTGATTAGCTCTTCAGTAAATTAGACCAAAATTAAGTCGGCCAGAAAAGGAGCACAATTGACAAAAATGGGACAAATAATAACGAACAGAATAAATACTGAAACATTTAATACTTTAAAACATGGACAGATGACGCGTTTCACACTGGCATTTATGGTGCTTGCCCTTTGGTTCCACATGGTGGGTCTACATTGGCTGGCCAGTCACAAGTTTGTACCGTAGGATTGAAAACGGTGCCTGTAAATTAATATTACATTGTTAATGGTATCTTAGTGTTTGTACTGGTTACCCCAAGTCAGTCCAATAGAGCACTGGCAATAGTTTAGCTGATTGCTATTACGGCATCACGTCATAATATTTATGATGTCAACACGTGGGTAATGACATTTACCGTCGTATGAATGCCATTTGAACTTGGAAGAGTTATCTAGTGACAGTACCACAAAGTATTAAATATACGTGAATGTAACCCAGATATTGCATATACCATAACCTTAATGTCAACACTACTTTTGCAATGCAGGTCGTCTAAAACACTTATGAAGAAAGTGAAGAAAGCGCAAAAGAAATTCTGAAATATTAAGAAGATCCTACGCATGTTTTGAAATTTGTTACATATTTTTGTCGTTGTTAACGTGATGCTTAATAGTGTTCAAAGACATTCAGATAATTTTAACCTGATTCTGTATGAAAGAGTTACTTACCTCCGGGACAGATGGTGTGTGCTAAAAATTTACTCTTTGCGCAGGTGTAAAATGTTGAACAGTGCTCGACGGTGTCTGCGTAATTTCCGTCGTCCTTTCCGGTGCAGTCCTTTAACACACCGCATGGTGGAGGGACAATGGTGGCGCTACAACAGTAACCAATCCATTAATCCTTCATACCTACTGTAGGTCATTTACATCATGTTACCTCTGTTACCTCTATTCTACAACCATTTGAAACTTGATGCAACATCATTTATTCCGTAATCTTGGTATATACCAAAATTTGATGAATAGAAACTCATGGATAGAAATGAACACATGATTCTGAGTGTAATGTGTCTTCCTATATTTGAATATTTGAATGCTTTCCGGCAGAAAAGCATGAATTCTTAATTTATTATTATTATACAACATTTGATATAGCTCCCTATCTACCTAACGTAAGCCACTATAACGCGCTTTACAATACATTGATATACAATTAATACAATTAGCATATACATTATCAGGAGTTGCCTTACCAGGCGCTAACTTCTAGACTTATGGCAACTGGCCAATATCTCCCTGTTTGCCCGCGTGTGTGCTGAAGATGTTATTTGTGAACAAGACGAATTTTTCCTGACATATCGTGCTTGTACTTGTAACATAAGCGAATCAACATTTACATGTGAATTACAAAATCAGAGTGTGTTGGACCGAAAATTCTAAAGTAATAAAAGAATTCAATTGAAAAAGTTACTATTGAGGGAAGGAATATTGTCGATTGTGAAAATAAAGGTTACGTGCTTGCTATAGAGTAGTGAGATTATCATTTTGGTATTGTAAATAAATCTAAAATTATAAATCACACTAAAGTTCTTTAGTAAGCTTAATTCCAAATAACATTGTTTCCCGTGTCTTGTAAATCTAGGAACAATCATCATTTAGGAGGCACGGTAGTCAAGTGGTAGCATGCCGGGCTCGTGACCGAAGGGTTGCGAGCTCGACTCTCGTCACGGCACTGTGTTGTATCGTTGAGCAAGATACTTTACTCTGCTTGTTCCAGTCTACTCAGCTGCAAATGAGTTCGTGGTTGGGTAGTGCTAGAAATGTAGAATGCTAGTTGTGAGTGCCGAAATGGCAGCATCGGCTGTATGCTCCCCAGAGATATGAGAAAGATATTGGCTGAATGCAAAGGCCCTATAGCCACGAATAATAATTTGTGAACCGTTTTGAGACGACCTACGAACTACGTTGTGATAAAGCGGTATATAAGAACCTCGAATTATTATTATTATTATTATTATTATTATTATCGTCCATTTCGAAAACATGAAACTCAGTGTCGAGCAAATATCTTATCACTGTACTGTAATATTTCTTGTTTTAATGTTGACCTGCATATTTATACTTTTCCTTATCGAATTTTACCCCAATAAACCAAACATGTGAATTACCGACCCAAACATTGATTAAGCAAACAATATCCTGTTTGTAGTTTTTATTGCTAGCAGAACGAACTATGTCTTATGTGGGCGGATTCGTCGAGTGATTAACACTCCGGCCTTCCAAGCAGGCGGCCGGGATTCGATCCCCGAAGTCGCCGTACGCATGGAACATTAGAGAAAGTGTTTTTCTCCTGCCCACACAACTCCAACAACCTAGGTGGAGTATAAAATGGTCTGGGGTGGGTGTTGCGGGATCTGTGCTGTAGCATTCAAGTGAGGTGGCACTATAAGTGATACCGTTGGAAGCACGGTCCCACTACAAACAGAACACAATACATCTCCAGCACACACACAGGCATACACACATAGGGAGATATTAGCCAGGTGGCATAGGACTAGTAGTTAGCGCCTGATAAGACAGCTCCTGCAAATTCCTCAATATTGTATTGATTAATATGTATATGCTAATTGTATTGACTGTATAAAATTGTATATCTATGTACTGTAAAGCGGTTTAGAGTGGCTCATGCTAGCTAGATAGGGCGCTATATCAAATGTTGTACATTTATTTTATTTATTTTGACAATAACATACTTAGTTATATTTCACATTAAAAAGATACGACACAGTCAACACATCAAAACTAATAGCACACGTAACAATACCGATAATATCAAACAAATACACATACTTGTCACATTTGTTCGTTGCACTATTGAAGACACTGCCAATAGCACACTCTACGATGCTATAGACACTGTTTGTGCACAAGGCGTATGATTTACAGTTCTTCTCGTATATACCATCTGGGACCCCCGTGCAGTTCCTGGCAGAGCTGGAACCTTGAAACAAAAATCGAAATGACAATTAAGCATCTACAACTCGTAAGTGGAAATCAAGCTGCTGGTCGTTTAATCCATTTTCTAAAATCGACAGATAAATGTGAAAAAACAACTTATTGACCCAACCCGTAGTAAGTTATCCTTTAAGGCATTTGAATAGTATTCTAACTTCTGCATTAAAATAATATATTGCAAAAGCTGGAATAATTGGAATACTAATTTGATTTTCAACTGATCCTCAAGATACAGAAAGATCATAGGCTGATTTCGGTAAGATCGAAATACAAACAAACCTTGTAAAATACTGTATGTTAATTGCCTGGCTTATAATTGTCATATAGGCAATTAACCTGAAAAAATAGAGACTGTTATAATTGAAATAATACTTAACCTTCTAAAATCCGCAGCAAATATTGTATTTATAAAAGATGTATGCTAATCGACATTCTTAGCGTTCAATCAAAACTATAATCCATAATGATAATATTTAAAACTTGATCATTAAACATTTGAGGGAAGTATTTCCTATAAAAATATGTTTTTAACCACGATTAAAATCGAACTTGACATTTTAAATTAAAACTGGTAATTTGGTCTCTAAAATACAAAGTGTACAATCGTAAGCAAGTTTTACCAGTCAAATCACCGCAATAGAAACCTTACAGACACAGGATTTGTAAATGTGTATTATAATTTGCTGCTTAAAATCTTATTGGTATTGAATTTCCTAATATGGAACTGACAATATACCTCCTAAAATTGATAATTAAGTAAATTGTATTTGATTTTCTAAACTTGTCGTTCTCGGAAAAGTGCTTCCTTAGATTCGAAATGAAATTTTATGTAACAAGGCATGGAAAAGTATTTGACCCTTCCAAATATATATTGGTATGTTTTTATCACATGACGTTTCTGTCATCATGCTTGTTTCATGGCTGGTTAGGGATTACATATACAGATTATAAAACGAAGGATACAAGTATGCAAGAACGATTTACAAAATGTAGCATCATAAAAAACATACCATATAGTGACTGATGCTAATAAATCGGCTAGATCAGTCGGATATAACACCAGTTCATAAATATACATACAAATACGACAGTAACACATGATTTATGAGTTTCAATTTTTAAAAAACCGCAGGAGAACAATCTATAGCGAGTTAAAATAGCAACCAAACCTTTGACAATTCCTTGTTGAAGACTTGATATTTGGGCTTGTTTAATGGTGTTTATATGTAAACATTGTTTAATGGTGTTTATATGTAAACATTGTTTAATTATAATTTCAATGTATTTCTTTATTATTAATATTTTAACTTGATTAAGAGTTTTCAGTATTTCCATTTTCCATTTGAAGCAAATATCTTCTTCATCATTGAAAGACATCCAAAAATGATTCATATGAGTCTTTCCAAAATTAATACGGTGATACCGTTTGTATTATAATGTCTGTCCATTTTGCATCTTTTAAATATTTGACATACATGTGAATTTTGATTTCAAGTTAAGTGAACTTTTCGGAATCGAAGAAAATGATTAAGGTAGGAAAAAAAACATAAAAAAATAACGAAATATTTGGATAATTTGTATTCTTTTTCAATGAAAAATATCTTTATAAAATTTTATAAATTCTTCTTAAGAGAAACCAAAAAAGAAAGCAAAACGTTTATGTCATACAATATGAAACAAACAAATGTAGGTTGAAGATCAACCACAAAATTATTTTGCTGCAAAGACGACTTACCGAAGAAGGCAAGGAGCACACATAATCCAATTAACTGTTTCATGACTGTGGGTTGTGTTGTTCTGTTGGAAGATAACACGAGCGTGCTGTACTGGCGGACTGGCGGGAGTGCGTGCCTGTGTCAATGACACGGTACTTATTTATACCAGATATGACCAGACCATGCCGACCACTGTGACGTGTGTATTCTCTACTATCTCGGACTAATTCCTCTGGCCCCATGGGCGTCATGTACTACATACCTCCGGTGCTACCGGCGGTGTGAAGCACGCCCCGGCCGACCGGCAGTATCCACATCTAATGGGCTGGTCTTTGTTTAGTTTGGGGTTCACTAATTGGAGTAGTTTACGTTAAAGCCCAGTGATGCTGTTGGTGTTCACTTTCTGTAGGTTACACAACCTTATATAAGGTTGTTTGTCAGATTAATTACAACGCATAAAAATCATAAAAAAATATTTCCTTTGAAGTATCAATGTTGGTTAAGTGACGGTAGAGACTTTTTCCTGTTGCCTGTCCTTAAACGAAGGGTAGTATATTAATCTTACATCTTCAAGAAAGCAATTCGCTTTCCTATTATGCGTCATTATCCTTGGGTAAAGGTCGCTTTGACTCGATATAAAATATTTTGTTACTGAGACACACAGTCCACCCGTGTTGTGTTTTAAAGTACCACCTAAGCCGAAACTTACAAAATGGGCTTTTGATATGTGTCCTAGCATTTTGTATCATATCCGAAAATAAGTTATTTATGAATGATACGAATATTTTTTATGATAATCATATGATCGACTGTTATTAAGAGGAGTCTTGTTATACTTATCGTTTTAGAGAAAGTATAATACGACACACAGTGCTCTCTAAATGATGATATATCTCGGTCAAAACATGTGCAATAGCTTTGAATATAAATGCATAATACACATAAATTCATTTTTTGTTAAATATACTGCGTCGGTGTTGCAATTATCTAATGACATACATACTTGTTTAACAATAATTACAAGCTCATGAACAACAAAACCACAGTTTTAAACATCAGGACTACAAATAATCCAAAATGTCAATTAATGGCAACAAGGGAAACCTTGGGAGCACTGTAACAAAACCAAGAGGTAGCTAGTACAAAATTACGGAAAAGCTATGTGATGATTAAAATTATCGTTTTTGTATATGATTAAAAAAATGAAAGGGACGAATTAGTGAAGAAAGCGCTTTTTATAATCTTGTCACAAATTTCTCATGACAATTTAGTTCATGTTGGTAAACTAACAAGAGAAAAATGCTTTCTTTGGCGTTCTTAACCAGTAATCGAAAGCTGTCGGTGAACTTCTAACTAACAAATATGTCTTTCAAGCCGAGAAGAGAAGGTATATTCGCGCTTCATTCACCTAACTCCTTTGGAATACAAATACAAGGATTTATTCAGAACAATCAAACATTCATATTACGTTAAAACCTACTAATATCGTACTTTATGCGGTTTGAAATTCTCACAACGGTATACTCTAGCGTGCATACCCTTACTAAACCTTCTTCCTTTTGTTCAAATCAAAATATGAACAACAATATCTGATTTGATTTAAATTGTGAAACTAATAGTTCTTACTTGAGGTGTATTGTGTAAATGCAAGGCGACAAACGTGAGTTATGTGTGAAATCAGACTCAATGACACCGTGTTCTCGGTCGACAGCGTGGTACTGTACATAAATCAGACTCGATGACACCGTGTTCTCGGTTGACAGCGTGGAACTGTATATAAATCAGACTCAATGACAGCGTGTTCTCGGTCGGCAGCGTGGCACTGTACATAAATCAGACTCAATGACACCGTGTTCTCGGTCGACAGCGTGGCACTGTACATAACTCAGGCTCAATGACACCGTGTTCTCGGTCGACAGCGTGGTACTGTACATGATTACTTCATCGCGTATTGCGCTATTCCGATCGTAGCTATATTTAGTACCGACTTTCCCAACGGATAAAACTGACCACACTGTACGTTGTCTTTAGGTCATGCATAAACCTTCGTTAGGGGATATATATACTTTCAGCCTAATCGATGTTTAAGGGTGTGATTTTACTAAATAGCCCTTTAAATAATATCGTATTTCATCATTCTATTTACATTAGACCACAGGCTTTGACTGAATCAAATGTGAAGTACCACTATTGATATACTATAAAGTATTTGAGGAGTATAATCTTCTCTTAAAGAGACACATGCGATGTTTTCCCCCTAGTGATAACTACAATATACAAGAATACAATGGTTACATTTTATGATGAGAAGCGCAAATAGAAGAAGGCGGTAAAGAATACAAAGCTCACAGTGTTTGAACCCCCTTTATTTGGCTGACATGGCAACGCCTCCCGTTGTCAGGGGCAGCTTGTTTTGGACTTTAAACAATGTCTTCAGACAATTGTAAACAAATGTTTTACTTCCTGGCAGTCCTCGGTTAACATTTGCATTTTATGCGTCGAGTAAAATGATATTCGCTTGTTAACTAAATAAAACTAAAACTCAAAACAGTTGGAGGTAAATATTAACACTGCTTCTTCTTATTAAACCTGTTTTAAAGTGATGTTAAGATTCAAAGGCTCTCATAGTTTAAGTTGACATAAATTTTCACTACATCGTGATAAGTTTTTATTGCATTAACAAGCGACCTTAAATTAGAGAAAAACACTGTGCCCGCCAACCTCAATGGTGTTTAATTAAGCATCCCTGTACCACTGCCAACATCCTCGATAACTAGGGGTTATGCTCACTGTCTCTCTCTTTAATGTACCTCAAGCTAGAACTCATATTTACAACACTAGTTTCTTTCCTGATACAATGAACTTATGGAACTTATTAGATTCTTGTATAACATCTGCTAATTCCCTTACTTCATTCAAATACAAACTTAAAAACTATTTTAATAATCAAGTAGATAATACTTCCCTGATCTTTCAACAGTGCAATCCTAGGAATTTTAATATAATACTTTGTCAAATCAGGCAAAAAGTAAGTGACTTAAACTTTGATACATTTACTGATCACCTTATTCAAGATGGCAGTTGTTCTTGTGGAGCACCGCGCGAAGATGCTGATCATTTTTTTCTTTTTTTGTCCTAATTATTCTGATTTCAGACTGGATTTTTATGAAATATGTAATGTAGTAGGACTTATTAGTCTGACATCAGGAGATAATAAGCTATCACCAGAAACTAATAATGATATATTATCTAAAGTTGAGAAATTTATTGATTTAGCTAATAGATTCACCTAACTCGAATTTGATTAGTATATTTTTATTTAATACTTTCCGTTATATCAATCTGCTCTGTGCATGTGTGTATGTCTGTGGGTGTGTGTGTGTGGGTGTGTGTGTGTGCGTGTGTGTTTAGAAGTATGTATGTTGCCAGTGACGCAGTACTTGTACTTGTACCATAACATCGAAAATGAACTAGTAGAAGTGTTAGCCTTGTTATTAGTGTGTGTAATTTAAACATTCAGCCATATCAATAATTCAAACACATATACATATTTTCCATATAAATGTCCATCTATTTCAATACGTAATTAATTATCGATAGTTTTGTAAATATATCTTATTATTCTTTGTAAATGTATATATGTTGTACCGTTTCAGGAGAAGACTAATATAGGCACTGCCTGTTGTCTCATCCTTTTGTAAATACAATAAAATTTGTTGAAACCAAACTGTCTCTCTCTGCACCGCTGGGGTATGTCATAGCAAAACTGAAGGCACGAGGCTAGCTATTTGATTGGTGTCGGGTAAAAAAGACCTGACCAATCGCTAGGCTAATATTTGTCCTTTGAAGATTACAGTGGAGCGATGCCCAACTTTATAGCCAGTAAGTGTTATCGTTACACGGCCGCGGGATTTTTTTGATGTACATCAAATTATCAAATTAGCCTTCTCGTCTCATCCACAAGCCGGTGCACACCGAACCTTCCGTTTTGCTATGACATATTCTAGGGGTGTGGAGAGCGAAAGTGAGCGTAACTCCTGGATATCGAAGGTGCACTGCCAATAACTGTAATTACCCATTGGAAACTGTTGTATTGTTACCGGCATTACTATATAAACAAAGCTTTGATAAATCAATTTTGAAAATAAAACCAGAATCTGCGGGACTTTCATTAAACAGTTAAAATAATGATAAAGATATAATCGACAATAGAGTTTTGTGCGTATGGGCTAGATCGCGATTCGAACCTTTGACTCTAGATTAGTGTACTACTGCTCATAGCGACCGACCTACCTGCTCAACGGAAGTGCTCTGTGCTACAGTTACCTACAGTATGTGTGAAACATTATAGGCAGACATTACATGTGGAAACTTTAGGGTGTACTATGTGTGGTACGATGTAGGTAGACAATACGTGTGGACAGTTTCGGACGGGATATTAGCAGGGATGCGATTGTTTTCCTCTCCTCAGAGAACTTCCCTTTTTATTTATTGTGCTTTGATTTTACGAGCTCTTAAATATGGTTAATTTTAGGTAGTAAATACGTGTTAGAATCTTTTCGACGGGGTATACAAGGGGTGGTAATCTCCCTCTTTTATGAGAAATTCCTTTTTTTTTTAATTGATTTGTTAATGATTTTAAAAGCGCTTGAATGTGTTGAACGTTAGAGGATAACATGTGTGGTAAACTTTGGAGAGGAATACGTGATATATAAAGGCCGGGTTATCATCAAGTGCTGCGTTGCTAAATCAGCTACATGTATGATAACATGGAGCGAAGTAATCTTATTTTAATTCCGCCATAGACCGTTGGTATACAGATTATTTTAATTTCAACCGACCGCTGATTGGAATGAAAAAAGAGGTTTAGGAAAAATTCATGAGGACAGATGTTTTTGATTTTTTTTTTTACAAAGATGGCATTTTTAATGTTTTGAGAGCATGGAATAATATTCTGTCTGGTTACAATCAAATATTATTGACAACTTCTTTCTAATTAAGTTTTTCGGCAAACATGTTTTGCGCACTTATTTAAAAAGACGAAAGGCATTACGCTTACCAATCAAACATTGAAGTGACCGTTGACATGTGATATGCAGCCATCGCTTATATTCATCATTATAAATTAAAAAGAAAAGTTAAGACACTATCCGTAGAAAATTTACCATTGATGTGGGTCATTTTTCAACGGCTTTAGATCACAGTTTTCTACGGGTGCCAGGGTAGGATTTCTACAGAACACAGTTTCTCAAACGGATGAAAAGTGTGCTATATAATGCTGTGTTAGCAACAAGATTTCTCATTCTTGAATTATTTCTCACTCAGCGGAGAAAACGTGCTAATCTGATGGACATGGATGATATATTTTCTCATCCCAGCTCTTGCTCACAAAGGTGAGTCAGTAGGAACTAGAAATGGCCAATGATCTTTTTTTTGTATCAAACAAAAGAAAACGTTAACATCAAATGCAGGTGTCTAAAAGGCTTGGTAGGCATACATAGGATTTCACACGAAATTTGTTTGTCATTAAACATGTTCTTTAGGACCAGTATGATTTGAACCGTCTTAGGGTTAATGTTAATCACGTTTGTTGCAATCACTTGAAAATTTCTTTTTTTTATCTCTTCCTCAATGCAATGATTTTTTTTATTTTTTATTTTTTTTTGAAAATAGCACTTTCAAATAAATCCATTGACTGCAGGCGTGCTTAAATCACATCGACCCTGATATCATGTCAGGGAATTATAAATGAAGTTATAACTAGTTGCATGTGATTTTACACCAATTAACTTGTTTGCAAAAACTTGCATGGGACACATCAATTGTTTACAACAAACTTACAGTTTGTTTACACTACCAGTACATACCTGTACAGGTAGTCCGACACACCTGGACAGATGTTAACTGGAAGTTTCTTAATCAAATTGTTCATCTGCAATTGTTTATTATGTTCTAATAGCAAAAGAAAAGCAAATGTAACATTTGTTTTTATATTTAAGTAGTCAATATGCTGTAGTTGAAGTTGCGACTAGTACCATAGTGATGTACTGTTTTTCTATATAAATAATTATCATTGTAATGCGTGTGCGGCTCAATTTCAATGTCGTTAAATTTTCGAAGAGATCATGGATTTGCAAGGAAGGAATAATCGTAGTGATGGTCAAATTTCAGGCTGGTTTGCAGTTGTAATAATGTAGTTAAAATCATAGCATTATTAACTCAAATACAGGGTACATGACCGGTGACGATAACCCGTATTGATATTACGACATCGTGGAACCGTTCTAGCCCCTCACATTACAGCTGTCTAATAAAATAATTTTCATTTTTTTATTTGCACCAGTGAATACTACACTATATATCACTTTGAAAGGTTTGTGTAAGATGTGAATAATGTTTTGTTAATTGGAATGGTGTGTGCCAATATGTTTACGTGTTCGGCCTGTCGTAACCCAGTACCTCAGAGATAACAAACCAAGATATGCATATACACACCAGCGATTTAAACTTATTAAAATGATCGACAAATTTTACATTTAATTGAGCGATGAATTGGAATAGTGTTCAACGTTCGTAGCTATGGTGTGCGGGCATTTTGAATCTTGTTTTTTAGAGAAAAGTTTACTATGAATTGATTTTCAACTTGAAAATAGTAATGGTTTTAGTATAAGGCAAGATATTAATTTTGTTGTTGCAGGAATTCTTCATATATGGGAAAAAAACAATTATCTATGATGAATTTATCGATTCCCCGATCCGACGTTAAAAAGGTATCCAGTTTCCTTTCACATTAAGTCCCCCTGTGTGTTTCCATTCGGGCAAACAAGAATGTTTGATATATTTGAAAGAACTCGGTAAATAAATGTTGTAAAATAAATATAGTTTGTAAAGTTTAAATAAATAAGAGGAACATATGGTAACAAAATCAGCTCTTGTTAACATGATATTTTAATCGTTATTCAACATCATTTTACAAAGAAACCGGGTACAGTTGTTAAGGCAAATATATAGTTGTTAATCATGTTAAAATAGGTACCTATGGCTGTGGAATGAATGAGTACTGATTACATCGTTACAAGTGATAAGAAACAAAATCAAAAACGGTTTTGTTATTTATTTAATAAATAACAGCAGAATGAGGTAAATGCAATACAATAACAAAAACCTGTCTCTTCATAGCGAATTAACTTAAGAAGTGTCATTTGCGTATTTACTCTCCAACACATCCCAGCCATTCTCTTTTAATATAAACGCTATTCCGTCTTTGCGTATTGCAGAGTTATCTTCTCTTGGGAACAGGGATTGATTGTTAAGTCATTTGGTTGTGCGAGAAAATTACGTCGTTTTCTCAAAAATTGATGACGTTACTCTCACAAACAAGTGACGTAACAATCAATACCTGCTCCCAAGAGAAGATAACTCTGCAATATGCAAAGACGGAATATATCTGCAAAATATGTATTCCCTGAGAATCGCCTGCACAATGACGCAGTAGGGGATACGTAATTTCTGTTAGATCCGAGCATCGTGGAATAATATCGACAAAAAATCAAAGATACGTAATGTAAAGCATTGCTGTGATTATAGAGTCATAAATTCCTCAATACTCATGGATAGATCCGTCGCTGGTAGAGTTCCACAAGGCTTTGACACATTAAATGTCCAATCACACACCTGTAATTCCTGGTTAAATACCAATCCTGTCAATGGAACAAACAAATATTTATATAGAAAATATATAAAACTAAATCATCCGTCAATCATCGATTATCAAGTTATCAATATCGAAAATGAAAGTCGAGACGGAAACCATGACGATATCAAAATTACTTAAAATACACCATATTCCGGCGTCATCATTATGTGATCGGGAAAGAAACATGTTTAAAATGACAATTGAAGCAACGAATAATATTGTTTAATTGTTATGTCGTTAACAGTAGCTACATCTTAAATGCAATGGAAAATATGTACGTAGAGTATAACAGTGTATACCCATATGGCATAGCAATACCAAGTAATCGTGGTAAAAAGTTTATGTTATTTAAATTTTACCTTCAGGACACCATGAAATTGTGATAGAGGGTTTTTATCATAGGGACACATGGATTGGGAAGTATGGCATACTCTTTGCTGAGGGACCAAGGATTTGACAGTATGGCAGAATCTTAGCTGAGGGACACAAGGATTCGGGAGTATGGCAGAATCTTATCTGAGGGACACAAGGATTTGGGAGTATGGCAGCATCTTAGCTGAGGGACACAAGGATTGGGGAGTGTGGCAGAATCTTAGCTGAGGGACACAAAGATTCGGGAGTATGGCAGAATCTTAGCTGAGGTACACAAGGATTTGGGAGTATGGCAGAATCTTAGCTGGGGGACACAAGGATTCGGGAGTATGGCATAATCTTAGCTGAGGGACACAAGGATTTGGGAGTATGGCAGCATCTTAGCTGAGGGACACAAGGATTGGGGAGTGTGGCAGAATCTTAGCTGAGGGACACAAGGATTTGGGAGTATGGCAGAATCTTAGCTGAGGGACACAAGGATTGGGGAGCATAGCAGAATATAAGCTGAGGGCCACAAGGATTGGGGAGTGTGGCAGAATCTTAGCTGAGGGACACAAGGATCTGGGAGTATGGCAGAATCTTAGCTGAGGGACACAAGGATTTGGGAGTATGGCAGAATCTTAGCTGAGGGACACAAGGATTTGGGAGTATGGTAGAATATTAGCTGAGGGACACAAGGATTCGGGAGTATGGCAGAATATTAGCTGAGGGACACAAGGATTGTGGAGTATGGCAGAATATTAGCTGAGGGACACAAGGATTGGGGAGTATGGCAGAATATTAGCTGAGGGACACAAGGACTGTGTTTAGAACGATTGTGATATCTGAAGGAAACAAAGACTGTGTTTAGAACGATTGTGTAATATCTGAAGGAAACAAGGATTGAGTTTAGAACAATTGTGTAATATCTGAAGGAAACAAGGATTGGGTTTAGAACGATTGTGTAATATCTGGAGGAAACAAGGACTGTGTTTAGAACGATTGTGTAATATCTGAAGGAAACAAGGATTGAGTTTAGAACGATTGTGTAATATCTGAAGGAAACAAAGACTGTGTTTAGAACGATTGTGATATATGAAGGAAACAAAGACTGTGTTTAGAACGATTGTGTAATATCTAGAGGAAACAAAGACTGTGTTTAGAACGATTGTGTAATACCCGAAAGAAAACAAAGACTGTGTTTAGAACGATTGTGTAATACCCGAAGGAAACAAAGACTGTGTTTAGAACGATTGTGTAATACCCGAAGGAAACAAAGACTGTGTTTAGAACGATTGTGTAATGCCCGAAGGAAACAAAGACTGTGTTTAGAACGATTGTGTAATATCTGAAGGAAACAAGGACTGGGTTTAGAACGATTGTGTAATATCTGAAGGAAACAAAGACTGTGTTTAGAACGATTGTGTAATATCCGAAGGAAACAAAGACTGTGTTTAGAACGATTGTGTAATATCTGAAGGAAACAAGGATTGAGTTTAGAACGATTGTGTAATATCTGAAGGAAACAAAGACTGTGTTTAGAACGATTGTGTAATATCTGAAAGAAACAAGGATTGAGTTTAGAACGATTGTGTAATATCTGAAGGAAACAAAGACTGTGTTTAGAACGATTGTGTAATATCCGAAGGAAACAAAGACTGTGTTTAGAACGATTGTGTAATATCTGAAGGAAACAAGGACTGGGTTTAGAACGATTGTGTAATATCCGAAGGAAACAAAGACTGTGTTTAGAACGATTGTGTAATATCTGAAGGAAACAAGGATTGAGTTTAGAACGATTGTGTAATATCTGAAGGAAACAAAGACTGTGTTTAGAACGATTGTGTAATATCCGAAGGAAACAAAGACTGTGTTTAGAACGATTGTGTAATATCTGAAGGAAACAATGACTGGGTTTAGAACGGTTGTGTAATATCCGAAGGAAACAAAGACTGTGTTTAGAACGATTGTGTGATGTCTGAAAGAAACAAGGACTGGGTTTAGAACGGTTGTAATATCCGAAGGAAACAAAGACTGTGTTTAGAACGATTGTGTTATATCTGAAGGAAACAAGGATTGAGTTTAGAACGATTGTGTAATATCTGAAGGAAACAAAGACTGTGTTTAGAACGATTGTGTAATACCCGAAGGAAACAACGACTGTGTTTAGAACGATTGTGTAATACCCGAAGGAAACAAAGTCTGTGTTTAGAACGATTGTGTAATGTCTGAAAAAAACAAGGACTGGGTTTAGAACGATTGTGTAATATCCGAAGGAAACAAAGACTGAGTTTAGAACGATTGTGTAATACCCGAAGGAAACAACGACTGTGTTTAGAACGATTGTGTAATGTCTGAAAGAAACAAGGACTGGGTTTAGAACGGTTGTGTAATATCTGAAGGAAACAAAGACTGTGTTTAGAACGATTGTATAATACCCGAAGGAAACAAAGACTGTGTTTATAACGATTGTGTTATATCTGAAGGAAACAGGGACTGGGTTTACACAAGGATTGGGTTTAATATGGCGTAGGCTAACTGCCGTAGTGCGGGTTACAAGGATTGGGTTTAGACTGGCGGAGTGTTTTCTGAGGGACACACTGATTGGGGTTAGACTGGCGGAGTAATCTCTGAGGGACACACAGATTGTATTTAGAAGGGCGGAATCTTACTTGAGGGACACAAGGAATGCCCAAAGAACTTTCCCCTGTTACAAGTGTAATAGGATCTACACGTCATCTCGATATCAGGATAGGCCCCATCGCTGAGAGTGGAACACTCCCGATACGTACCACAGGGCGGCGGTACATTAAACGCGCTAAAACATACAAACACAGAGGTGACAGAAGAATGTTATATACAATATCATATCGTATATAGTGTTTGAAGCAACAACTTATGATCTTTTAAAAATACAATCTGCCAAATTTCCTTTGATATTTGGTAAATTTTACAACAATGCAAAACAAATGTTTTAAGCAGTAAATAATCGTACATAGATGTCTTGTTACCAATATTTGTGCGTATGATGATATAGAAAGCAAGATTGGTAAGTAAAGATATAAAGTAATGGTGATTATAAATGTAGTCTATGTTACAAATGTTTAACGTTATGAAGAGTTATACGCTTATTAACGATACCTACTCATCACATGTGTATGTGTCCCTGTTGTACGCTGTGTACGGTTTACAGAACATAACTACAGCTGTCTCATTGACACACTTCGTGTACGAGCGGCACCCTTCGTCGTACACACCGTCCTGTTTACCCGAACAATCCAGCGATAGAGCAACTGTAGGGGAAACACGACTAAACGCTTTATACGAATAGGGTTTAATTAGAGTAATCGTTTTTTCATGTCTTTCATTTCACATACAATAAGTACAAACTCTTTATTAAAACATAACAACTAACCACTATAATATAGAAATATAAAACGCTACAGTGATATGTAAATACAAATGTATGTTTATTTTAAAGAAAAATGTTTTAGGATTCATTAGAACGCAAAGGATACGAAAGTGAAAGTTTTCGTAGGCAAGAGGTATGACACTCTCATTATGAAAATATATCTATAACTTTTCAGTAATTCTTTTTTCTCTTTTTATTTATTAATTTATATAGATTTTAATTTTATCTCGTCCTATTTATTAATTTAATTTCTGTCGAAAAAATAGACATTTTTATATAAGAAATGATTCACAATTTTGTTCGGACCTCATTACAATACCTACTCTTCATAGCTTCAGACGCAAACAGTATAATGTACAGTTATATTACTTAAACGTAGAGCAGAGGTATGAAGCGAAACGGTAGTATTAATATATACAAAAACAAATTAAATAGCTATTCTTTTTATAAACATTTTATACAAATATTTACCTGATAATAATACAGTCACGACCATAAATATCACAGGTACAACCATTGGTTCCATTTTCAGTGAGAACAGCTAAATGACTTTCATTCGGTTCTGCACTATATATTGAAGGTGCCACACGCCTGACCGTTCTATGGTACCTGGTGATTAGCAGTAGCTACATTGTCCAATGTTGCGTAAGGGTCACTAATCTTGTCGGTTATCCTTTAGATATGAGTGGAGCGTCGGAACAGACAATATGTGATACAATATTTCCTGTGTATCTTCGGGAACGTTACTTCACATGCTGTATTTCACATAAACGTTCAATCAAATTCTTCTAGATAAGTGATTTCAAATTAACGTATTTTTCAAACTGTTTACGGTTTGTCTCTCTCCAAACAAAAAGAGTTACATATTCAGGTGTATACAAGATAACTAAGCCTATTTACTTTACTAATAACATTTTTGAAAGGTTCACAAATAAGACAAATAACGAGTTAATTGGTTAAACGTGTCTTTTCACATTTAAAACTTCAATTTAACCGAAATACAAAGAAAGAGATCAAGAAAAAACCCTCTCTCATATAAACATGGGTGTCTTTATTATGTTGTTTTGCGTCAAATTCAGGAAAGGTCGAGGTCATCGTCAATTTGTGAACATTAATTCTTGAATGATGATAGACACTCAAAATTGCGACTGTGACGTCATATTGAATGAAGATGTTTGACATACATTACACGATGTGTTTACTTCATAAATACAGAAAACCTAGATTGCTTTTAGGTGTAGCTCATAATTGAAGAGAATTAGAGTTAAAGAGTAAACTTATCAGCAGTATGCATCTATCTAGAACATTACGGTACCTAATAAATATGCTTTGTGAAGCCAAAACATCTTTAACACACTTTAAACTCCATTAACAGGACATGACGTACTGTGCCTACTTAGAACGGGTAGCATGTGGAATAGACGCCTGTTTGTTTGTAACAGAGTTTGGTAGTGAGGTCACCGTTATCGTCCTACTGTACGGATTTAATGTAAAGCTGAGTAAAAGTGTCTGGAGTATCCTGCCTTCAGGTGCTGAAGGATAAATGAATTCATTACAGTGTTCAATGCATTTAGAACACAAAGTTTCGGACATGATTCTTTTTCATTTCATAGCATTTTGTAACAGTTCACTAAACACATATTAAACGCTATAGATAAGAGCTTTACTGACGGGTAGTGCACAGTCCTCAATGGAATAAGGATGATTTGTTTAAACATTTCCCCCGACAGTTTCAGAAAATATGTAATCGACCAAAACTTCATCATCTTCCGTATATTTTTGTTTGCATTGTGGTGCTCAATAAATAAGACTCGTTCTGTTTGTTAAGAGACATCGGACCAAATTATTTCCTCTGCTGCTGTTTACTGACGGGTAAGAAAACAAGCACAACATAGTTGTATATACAAAACAATAAGCCAACCACAAGTTTAACTTCAACATTTTATTTGGTATCTGAACCATGCATACCACATCCAGTTAAATTTATCAACATGAAAACAGATTTTGAACCTTTGTTGTTTCAAGATAAGTTATCAGTGTTTTTGAAAGTAAACTCACAACAAGCTAATAGGAGTAGGGTTATCATTCCCGGTCCATACATGTACAGAGGTAAATGGTATTTCGGAATGTTGATACGGGGTTACAGATTAAGGAGAGTTGTCGGGCTGGATGCCGCACGGACTTTTCACGTGCTGAAACCAGTCACAAACCTGTAGGTCCTTGTTGAATATAAGACCTGTGAAATCAACAAAAAGTAAAATAAATATTAGTATTAGGGTAATGATATTCTTGTCTAGTCTAAATCAATATTTTATATCGGAATGCATGTCAAGACATTAAGAATTTCTATGTTAAAAAAATACTAGAAATGCAAAGAGAAAATATCCTATTTAATAATTTAGTTGTCGATACAAAAACACAAAAATTACTTCTTCAGTTTATCATAATCTAAGTTCATATCTAAGCACACACACACATCCCTCCCCTCTGTTATTTAATCAATTCACGCCTGCGAACATCTCACGAGAATGCTAGAAAACCATACCAACTTCTATTTCACTTACATCCGAATTCCATTTTGTACCATACCTTCTTTTCAGTTCAATATTTGTATGGATTGTGCTATACGTTATCATAGCTAAGGTCGTATTTGAAGTTATGCTTATCAACCGTTCAGGTGATTAAAATGCATTACAGCTGCATACAAAAACGTGTGAGTTAGCGAAATCAGGTGCAGTCTCGTTGCTTATCGGTTATTTCTTTACGTTTCTTTAATGTTTCATATAATAATACATTTATACATAGCTTTCGATAGAAAAACAGGTCTTAATTGTTTTATACAATTAAGAAATATCTCATAACAACAACTTTTATTTGTATTTCCTTTAATCGAGTCTCATTTATCTCCGTTTTGTAGGCTTTGAACGGAATGAAAATCGCCCATACGAATGGTTGCATCTAGGGTAAAGCAAACATCCTGCTGTTGAATGCGCACTACCTATCCATTACCCCTCTATTTACACCCAACATTACCTGTAGGGCATGGGTTGTGTCCCATGAACCTTCCATTAGCACACGTGAAGTAATACTGGCAGTTCCTCTCAAGGTCCGGATATTTTCCGTCGTCTTTACTTTGGCAATCTCTGTATGTGCCGCAAGGATCGTTTACATCCCGAGGACTGTGAAACAGAGTATCATGTTATAATCATCATCATCATCATCATCATCGTCATCATCATCATCATCATCACCATCATCACCATCATCACCTTCAACATCATGTCAGTGTTTATGTTTATGATTTGTTTATCGTTGGTGACCTACACATGAGGCAGTCAAGCGTGTACTGTCCCAGAGAACCACCGGTCATCAACGGATCCATACGGGGTCTTGATGACTTTATAGTACCTCTCTTCTACTCAGTCCCTTCTGTTCTGTCTTTTCCCGTAAACTTTAATTTTCGACCTACTCCTTGTTGCTGCCGTTAATGTTTTACATTGAATTTGCCTTAATTTATTTGGATAGAAAAATACCAGGAAGTTGGAAACATTGATACTGGAACATTACTGCTGGTTCTTACTTGTCGCAGCTTCCGGTATCTATATTGACGACTTCCGGTGACCGACATTCCACCTTCGTTAAAGTTCCCGAAGTGCACTTGGTAAACACGCGACACCCAACTTCATACAATCCGTCATGGCGGCCTGAACAGTCAAACGTCTCAGCAACTGTAACAAGCACAATATCTATAGTGTCAGTGTTTTATCGTTAGGATAAAAAAAGCATTTCTTCCCAATATTATTTGACACTTGCATCCGTTTACATTTGCTGCTACAGCGTGCACATTATACAAAGATGAAACTAAAACTAAAATATCATGACTATTTAAAGGAATCTATATAAGTCATTGATTTCATATGAAATAATTAAAATTATGATATTATTAATTTGCAAGACATGTTTTGATTGGATACAGACCATTGAGCCGTTGTTCAGTTGTGCGCGAACCAAAACAAAAAGGGGTCATGATTCATGAGACCTTACAGAAATAAATGAAACCGGTTACTACGAAGATAGTATATAAACGCCGGTTAAATCACCTAGCAACATATTCCTTACCTAAGCATAGGAGATTCGTTTTTCATGTACTGTAAACATTCTTATAATAGCGGCTTTTGATTCAAATGTTACACTGTCGCTGATGATTGAAAAAGGAGTACGCTATCAGTGCTACATGTATTGCAATAAGTAATATTAATGGAAATCTTGTACATAAGTATGAGTACGCCATGATTATCTTTCAGTGTAATTACTGCGGGATATGTATTTGCTCACTACTACATGTATAAATGTTATTAAAGTCAGTCTAGAATGAATTTCAGTGATATAATCTTAGAAAAAAAGAATTATACTTTCAGAAAGAGATATTTCTAAATAGATATGAAACCAATATATTTCTGATGGGGTACCTTAGATACAGGTATGACGTCACTGATTAAACCGTACCGTCTTGTACTATAACCGCTATAAATAGACGCAGAAAACGTAAGACGTACCTGGAATGGTGATTGAGACAATGAGTAGAATTATACGGACAGCCATGATGGTGTAACAGATCGTGTAAAGGTTCTCTGTCGGGTACAGTAAATGAACGAGAGGAGGACCTCGACAGTTCTATATGGTTACCACACGCCAAACCTTAAGTAAATATCGAATTATCAAAGCAAATACAGACGCCCATGTACAGAAACTTGGCGAGGTTGTTCACTAAAATGGCGATCTATATTCTAAACTTCGTGATATGTACGTGTAACTGTGTGAGATGTATTCCCTATATTTAACGTATTATATATGTATCAGGAGGTTTCAAACTTGATATAATTTTAAGGGTGAAGAAAAACTTCCCTTTAGGTTTCTTTTCGTACTAATGTTCTGTTTAGTGCGTACATTTTGTACAAGTTCCTCAATCTTATTTACAACATATCTTTCTTCGCTGCCTTAAAATGGTTATTAGATAATAGTATGATATCAAAACATAAGAACATAGATTCCTGATGACATCCAATATGTATAATATTTGTAGTATAACTGTAATTAAAACTGTTTTATATGCCACATGCATTTGTTCTGTCGGGACATGGACCTCCCTTAGGGGACCCCATTGGGAATGAGCTTTCTATGGCTTTGATGGGCTATCAAGGGTAAGGCAAAATACGTAAATTATATATATATAGATCTCAACTTTGTAAATTACCTACTTATATGACATTTTTCTGTTATGTACGCCTTTTCCCGAATGAATATTATTATGATTATTTCTCCTTGATTATACAATGGACAAGTACGGGAAGTTGTTTGGCTTGACATAGAGGATAGCTCAGGCGCTAGTGAAAGTATAAATTGCAACAAAGTCTTTAAATTAGAAAATAAAAAAAGGCGTTTGAATGTGTTTACCATAAATTCCTTTTCTGAGATAAAAATATAGGTTAAAGAAATTTCTCTTCTATAATTAAGAAAACATATACAAGTTGTATCAGTCGTGCAAACATTCACTTTCTAATGGCACACTTGGAAGCTATTGTTTGAATTTGGTCATTTTACGGTCAAAACGATAAATTTCACCAAAACTTTCACATTATGTTAAATTAGTATGTTTGACCGATCATAACAAGAAAACGAGCACATGAACATACAACTTTCTATTTTTATTTTCTCATATTCTCCTTTTTCCAAAATTCCATATAAGAAAAAAAGTTAAATACAAGAAATGTTTGACTTATCATAGGAGTACATCCTGAAAATACGAGGTAGCCCCTGACTGGAGACGTACGTTCCCCATGTTTTACAATATATATCGTGCCACTCTAACTGGGCTCTTTGACATTAATAGAGGAGGACACTTCTGAAGCTGTGGGAAGTATATCTGTTAGAATTGTAGGGCAATGGTCGAGAGACAAGAACATTAAATTAAGGACACTTATAACAATATAACAACAAGATACAGACATTTTTGAAAGCACGTAAATACGTTTCAATTACTGTTTGTGATCAAAACAATCTTAGCATCAGTAATAAATAAACGAATAAACGGAAATGATCTCCATACTTATCTCTGGATGGCCCTGAGATGTACGTTCACATCTGGCCGGGTTTCTTCTCCGCACACAGATAACTAAATGCGAACTACGACAGAAGAAACATTTCGATAGTTGTTCAGGGCCAAACCTTGTTAGTATGTGACATTAGCAGATACTGCCCTGGATGTACCAATAACGGCGGAAGTGGCAAAAACAAAACATAAATGTTACAAGCACAACCTCAACAATACACAAAAGACAATTTATCAGTGTAGCAAACCCATCTAATATCTTGTTATATTATGTTCTCATTTAGAATATCTTATTATTGTCTTTTATTTGGAATATTTTTTCTCCGTTACAAAAAATGTAGTAAGCTTGCAATAGCTGATGAACATCAGGTCTTAGTTGTAGGTCTCTGACAGTGTGTGTTCCTATGACTAAAGGAGTTACCTCCCTTCCTCTAACACGTTACGAATGCACTGACACTCTAGTATAACTAACTAAGGCAACGCGAAAAGGTCATTGACGAAACGTTCAAGTGGAAGTCCAAAATAATTGACGACATGTGGCAGATTACTGGAGTATAAATAATGATTATGTTGTATTTCGGTATGTCACCGTATTGATTTGAGTAAGCTTAGCTTGAACCAAATCAAACGACCGTAACGATACATTTTGTTATTTTATTCGATATTTATTCGCACTTTTGAGCGATATTTATCTATTAACCACATCCATAATAATACACAATAGTAGGTACTAATACAGACAATCTACGCTGTCTGTAAGTCGGAAGTACGTACGTCATCTATCACATGTTACTCCCTGTTTACTGCAGTATATTCTTTTTTCTCTTTGGGGCAGCAATTCATTACGATTTAGATACGACTTGTTACGACTTTCGACTTTTTCCCAAATACAACCCTTCCTCATTGTGGTAATCTTCTACTAATCAAGAACATTTACTTTTTTTATGATTACCTTTCGCATTTCAGAGGTCGTACCAAACAGTTTGTTTCTTGTGGCTATTAGTAAACATTGTTCCTCTACTTTGTAGCAAATGAAGCCACAGTTACAGTCGACAGTCCAAAAAAAACAAAACACAATCGACATTAAAGAAAAATATAGTTATTTTTGACTGCTTTAAGATGTTCCCAACCTCTTACGACTTTCGCATCAAAGGAAGCGCCATCGTTTTGCTATATACATAACATATAACACTACCAAACATAACATATAAGACTACCATATTAGACTACCAAACATAACATATAAGACTGCCATATAAGACTACCAAACATAACATATAAGACAACCATATAAGACTACCAAACATAACATATAAGACTTCCATATAAGACTACCAAACATAACATATAACACTACCAAACATAACATATAAGACTGCCATATAAGACTACCAAACATAACATATAACACTACCAAACATACCAAATAAGACTACCATATAAGACTACCAAACATAACATATAAGACTCCCAAACATAACATATAATACTACCATATAAGACTACCAAACATAACATATAAGACTACCCAACATAACATGTAGACTACCAAACATAACATATAAAACTACCAAACATAACATATAAGACTACAATATAAGACTACCAAACATAACATATAACACTACCAAACATACCAAATAAGACTACCATATAAGACTACCAAACATAACATATAACACTACCAAACATACCAAATAAGACTACCATATAAGACTACCAAACATAACATATAACACTACCAAACATAACATATAAGACTACAATATAAGACTACCAAACATAACATATAAGACTCCCAAACATAACATATAATACTACCATATAAGACTACCAAACATAACATATAACACTACCAAACATACCAAATAAGACTACCATATAAGACTACCAAACATAACATATAACACTACCAAACATAACATATAAGACTGCCATATAAGACTACCAAACATAACATATAACACTACCAAACATAACATATAAGACTGCCATATAAGACTACCAAACATAACATATAACACTACCAAACATAACATATAAGACTGCCATATAAGACTACCAAACATAACATATAACACTACCAAACATAACATATAAGACTGCCATATAAGACTACCAAACATAACATATAAGGCTACCAAACATAACATATAAGACTACCCAACATAACATGTAGACTACCAAACATAACATGTAAGACTACCAAACATAACATATAAGACAACCATATAAGACTACCAAACATAACATATAAGACAACCATATAAGACTACCAAACATAACATATAAGACTACCAAACATATAAGACTTATTTGAAGGTTAGCCTTTTTGATTATGCTCATTAGAGTAACCGAGTTATCGATGTGAGGACGTGACGTTGACTTTGACCCGGATTTACATGACGGGTGACGTCGATGTAGCAGTAAACACTTACTCTACCGGAACGTTCAATGACCTCGTTGTTAATCTTTTCTTTGTTAACATATACCTGTAGATTTATCGATGTTTACAGGTTATGAGTTGATAACGCCAGTTGAGCATATGTGAATTGAATAACGAATTAAAATCAGTAATTATTTCTTTATTTCTAAGAAGTTTGCGAAAGCTTCAGATCT